TTTGCAATTTCTATTTACCTCTGATTTCGTATGATTAAGAACGATTCACCTGCTATTTTCCCACCAAAATCATTTCCTCACCCTAATAAACTTATAAACCAAGTTCAATATCTAAAAATCCATACAAAAAGAACAAATTTTCTAATCTACAAATAAATCTCTACAATTAGAAGAAACCTTTTAAAATAGGGTTTTTCAAACCTAATATATCCCCAAACACGAAAATTGCAAAAAACGTGAAGTATATAACCTTAGCAGGAAAGATTAAATTGTGTAAGGGAGAAGAAATATAAGATTGGAATCCACCAAAATTTTGTTGATCACACAATGCAAAAGTTTACAAGCTTATTGCGGAAGATGTATGATGATAGAGATGAAAGTGGAGGTTTTGTTGATCGAATCCACGAGCAACACACGAACCAGAATCGTTTGAGTCTCACAAACAATCTAGAATCGCAAGCTAATAGAACATAAGTGAATCCACACTCAGATTCTATAGACACGCACAAAAGAGAACAAGGAATCCACCTATGAACTCTAATGAACAAGACACAAAAGAAAAGACTTTTGCAAAAACGAAAACTTTGTTTATTTCTTAAGATCATTGATGTCTCACAAATGAAGGATATATGAGCTTATATAGGCTCAAACATAAGCTAGCTAACATTCAAAATAATAATAAAAGGAAACAAATGTTTAAAACTATATAAAAGATGGAACAACAGAATGTAGCCGTTGCACTTGATTTGGTTTAGTGTGGAAGGGTCCTCTTTAGGAAACTCGTGGGACACCTTGTACCTTTGATATTTTCTTGGAAAATCCATGTGTTATCCTCCTTCTAGACGCTTCTTTAAGTTGGGTATCAAGAGAAATTAGCCGTTGGAGAAGTAAATCCATAGATGAAAAATCCTCTAAATAAGGAAACTGAAGCTTAGACATGAATGTTGATATATTCTGATTTTCTGGGTGTGTATTGACTTTCCACAAAGCTTCTAAGGAGACTAGAGTCTCTTCTAGTTCCCATATTCGTGTCCTCAATGAACTAAACATGGAAAGTCCATCATTTAGTCGGTTTATAGTCAATTGGGTTGAATGCCGGTTCATGTTCTGCTCCAAGCTTTTCCGGGTCAGATCACGGGTCGTCTTAGGTCTTTCTTGGGTCAAGAATTCAGGCCTGGTCGGTTCTGGGAAAGAACTCTTTTGGATTGGCTTGAAAACATCAAATCTTGTTCCATATGTCTTCTCGGGCAACCTGCCTAGAAAAAACAGATTGTGGCAGCAAGTGTGGATATGTTCCAACATGGAAGCTGTTTGAATCACCTTCTTCTCCTCCTCACGTTTTAGGCTTGTATATGAGGTCCACATCAAGAAGAGAACAAGCTTTTAATTTTCCTTGGCTGTGTTTTTGTTTCCAACAAGATGGGAAACC